AGTTAGCCCAAACAGAGAGTCAAGACAAGTAGAAAAAATGTATGTTAAAAACATAGCTACACTTTGCTAATGTTTGCCAAAAATATACCACATACAAATATCTTGTAAATTTATATATAAAACAAACGTACATCATGAACAAGATAGCGATAAATGCTAACAAATGGAACCGCTAATGGCTAACAGTGACTCTAAGGTGCCATTCAGTTGACTTCAACTACAACAGTTCCATTTAGCTGTGGCTCAGTGATGCTGAAGTTGCCCTGTATCTGTCAGGTTGTCGGTTTGATTCCAGTCTCTCTTTGGCTTGAAAACCTGTCATTTAAAAACGTTTGATTATTTATGATCTGATTGGATGAGGCCATAGTACATTGATTGACAGTCTGACGTCGTTCCCATCAAGCCTGCGGTGAACAATACATCTTCTGTAGATTTCCATCAACAGGGTGACACGCCGTGGCTCTGGGCAGTCCAGCGTCACTCACTCCTGGTTGTGTAGCGCTGTGTGAACATTTGTTGTTTTGAAGCTAAAGTGTGATCGACGCCTCATATCACAATCTGCCCAACACTGTGACAGAAACAGCTCCACTAAACCAGGTTTTTTTTTTTTTTTTTTTTTTTTAGTTGGCTGCTGCCTCCGCAGTCAGTAAAGATGGTAATTGTAAAGGCTGCAGGTCACCGCATAATTGAAGGAGACCGCCCGCTCCACGGGGTCTACAGCCACTGACTCACAGCATGTTTCCACCCTCCTCATACAGACTTTCTTTTAACTTTAACTTTACTTAATTATAAAGCTCTGTTCGTACAATGACGAAGCACAGATAAAAGGTCAAAAAACCAAACCCCCACGCGTGGACTCAAGCTCCTACTCACTCACCCAGACACACACTGTGGCAAATGTGCGTTCGTTTAAAGATAACGAAGCTAGGCACTGAAGAACCACCTGGTTTCTAAAGTGGAAATTCAAGAAAGGAAGTCTGTTCAAGTAAACAGGAGCTCTAAATCACATTACTTTCTCCTAATTCTGAATAAAATTTAAATAATTAAAACCATAGTCTCACCATCCATGTAAAGACCAGGCCTTTCTTAACACTTTATATCATGGTAACAGAGAGGAACAAACTCAGCCTGATTAAGATCTGCCACTTCAGGAAGACATTTTGAAAAGCCGTCCTCCAGCCTCTCGTCACGCCCACCAGGGGGCTAGATGTGGACAGCTCTGCAGTGAATGTTTTTCACCACACGCAGGTGTTGGTTTTGGAGTGACTGATCCTCATTCAGGGGTGAAATGTGTTTTCTGACGTCTGGGCACAGAGACCGTCGACTCTTTTTCTTCAACACACGGCGTGAACAGGCACGGAGGTAATGAGGAGTTCTAACAGAGCAGCCCAACGCCTCTGTCCTGACGCCGTCGCTCCTGGGGAGGTGTGGTTTTTTTGGCCCCAAAAGAAACAGTGACATTTGAGGAGTGTTATAAACTAAAATGCCAAAAGCTCTCACAGTCCTGAGGAAAAAAAAAAGAAAAATGCTGAATCACACACACAAAATAAGACGATATGTCTGACAAGAACTAGTTTGGACCTTTTAGTTCAGGGGTCTCTGACTCACTTTGGTTCAGGGGACGCAAACAACCTGATCAGATGTCAAGTGGATCGGACCAGGACAACTGTAACACAATCAACTATAAAAACAAGTCCATGTTTTTCACCTTTGATTTCCTGCAAATAAGTACAAATATATTAGATATTTATTATTATTATTATTATTCATTTATATTTAATGAACGGAAATAATTTTACAAACAAAACCTGAACATGAAGTATTTGTGTATTTTTTTTTTTTTTTTTGAAATTCATCAAGCGGGCCGGATTGAACACCCTTCTGGGCTGGTTTTGGCCCTCGGGCCCTATGTTTGACACCTCAGCGACACCTTTCACTACATTCGGTCAATTTCTTTCATTTTTCTGAGGTTTCCAAAGACAAAGACAGACGCCTGCAGCCTGAGGAGTCCGTCTGCAGCAGCTTGAGTGTTCTTGGAGATGTTTGGGCTTTTATCAAAAAAGGTTTGCTAAGGTGAAGTGAAGAATCTTTTTCAGTCAGATGTGAATCTTCAAGAACGTCCAACTGCTAACTGCTAAACCAACAGCAGAGCTCGTTTGTTTTCCTTAAAAGCACGGAAGGGTGAAGGAGAGAAGTGGATGGAAGTTCACGATGGCGCCACACTTGCATCAGTCAAAGGTTTTAGCAGCAGTTTGAAAACATCTGGTCACGGAGAAGATGCGCTGAGTGGGAGTTATTGAGTTATTGAGGATGTATCTGGATCTTCACAGAACTCTGAAGATGGAGATCTGTTCTCCGGAGGGCAGGAAGGTCAGACGGTCCTGTGTGCTGTGGTCACTGACCCTCAGCAGAGTCTTTTCAGTCCGTCTCCCAGCGTCCAGCAACCCTGCTGTGATACAGTACTTAGTATCAGGAGGAGGTCAACTCTGAGGTCAACCCCAGCAGAGCGTCTGTTATTTCTTTCTGAGGATTCTTAGAAAGTTGAACCTTGACATTTATGACACCGGCTTTGTTTACGTGGCCCACGTGGACTTCCTCTGAGATGTGGACTTCCATGCATCTGAACGATCAAACTCTTCCTCCATGTCCTGCTAAAACAATCTTTGATGTAACGACGGCCGTCAAAAACCAGAGTTAAAACTTTCTAAACTTCTGAGTAATTACAGACAGACATTGACACCACATGGGCTTCATCATGAGAGTGGGCCACACTTTACCACGCTGCCATAATTGCTTTTTTTTTTTTTTTTTTTTGAACCATGTCTCCTAACCATGGATAAAACTCCTGCACAAAAACCCAGACACACATGAACCAGGTCATTTAGCGGCGTGTTCGATGATAATGGTGATAATCTCTGTCTCGGTAATGCTAGCATGTGCACTCTAAAAGATTTCTGAGAAAAAAAAAAATTGGTGGAACATATCAGGGACACTTGGTAACCCATTATTGCAGGCCCAGAAATCTAGGTCAGTGTGGCGGTTAATGAAAGGCTCGGGTGGATCATGGAGGCTGGAATCTTACATGTGAGCAGCCGTTTAACACGTCTGTTCTGTTGGCGAGAAAATGTAGAGGTTGGACAGGAATAAAAAAATGTATCACATTAACGAAATAGTCTGTAATTTAATTAATGAATCATTACATGTTTGTCTGCACCATGATTGTTGTAGCTAACGTTAGCGCTGGTGTCCGTACTAGGACCTGTTTGGCTAAGTTGAGCTAAGCTTAGAGCTATGTAAAAACATACCTTGTTATTTTACATTTAGGCTAAATAACTAACTCTTTACTATTATTTAACTGTTATTGTTTATCATGAACTTTATTATTGCGTCTTGGTTTGTTCTTTCTCTCTGTATTTGTTTAATAATGCGTTTATTTTTTCCTTATTTTCGTCTCGACGTTGCTGGAGGATTTGTACAATTGGCTTCAATCATGGAGTCACGATGAAGAACAGAGTCTGTGACTGAAATGACAATAACACCAATGTGGCGACAGTTTATTTGTCCACTTATTGAGTCATTACTTTAGCTCGTGTGGCTAAATTGTATCCATTCCCATCATGTGATATTTTCTGTTCAAAAAATAAAAAATAAAAAATAAGGGAAAAGAAATTGCTCGGCCAGTTGGAGCGTTAAAAAAGAAGCAAAAAACAAAAAAAACCCACACACCTCACTGGGAGCTGTTATGAAGTGAACACTGGCAGCAGAGCGTGGCGAGGGACACGAAGAACAATAACTTTGTTTTGAGAGACGGCGGATGCTGAGAATGTAAATATGGTAAAGACGATCACAGACGGGGGTTAAGGGCGCGGCGGTGGGTAATGAATATGCAGAGTGTGTCTGTGCCAGGCTGAACAGGCGTCTGTTCACTCACGGCCGACTGAAGCACAAACCAACTCAAAAAAAACCCGTTATTTCTGATCAATCTGAAATCCGACGCCCCCTACAGTACACCACTACACACATGTTACCGTTGTACTGTTTGACTGCTGAGCTCTGTGATGGGGCAGGAAATGAAAAGTGAGGGGGAAAATAACAGCTCTATCGCCCCCTGTAGTTCACGACACAATGGAACATTTGAATTATAGTGTTTTTCATCATTTTTTAGGGAGGTTATATTTGAATTATATCCATCCATCCACTGATTCCATCTATTCATCCATCCATCCCATCAATCCAACCATCTATCATCCATCCATCCATCCATTCATCCATCCATCCATCCATCCATTCAACCAACATCAGTATCTCCATCATCCATCCATCTCTACAGTGTTTCTGTCATTTTTCTGTTTCCTCTCTCTCTCTCTCTCTCTCTCTCTCTCTCTCCCC